CCCCCCCCCCCCCGGCTCGGGCTTCACGAAGAGAAAGACACCCCCCCCCGTGCCCGGCCTTTCCCTCCCCCCTACCCCCCTCCGGGTTAAAAAAATGTCGTAAACCCGCCGCCCTTGGGAAACGCTTGCGCCGCGTTCCCCATCCTCCTCAGCAGATGCGGGCCTTGCCTCCGTTTGGCTGGGGAGGATGGGAACAGGAGTCCCGCAGCCCCACCTTGCGGAGGTGGGAGGGAGGGAGGGAGGGAGGGAGAGTGGGGTGGGGGGGTGGGCGCCCGGTATGAGCGAAGGGCCTTTTCCACGCAACCCTCTGGGCCGGGCCGGCGAGCCGGTTCGGTTGAGGATTCGGTTACGAAACAGCCTCGGAAAAAGGAAGAGGGGAGAAGAGGCGGGGCGGACTCCTGAAGAAGAATGGCTTGGATGGGGGGGAGGAGGAAGAGGAGGAGGGGGGGAGGTCTCCGATGGGGGGGGTGTCTAGGTCTCCCCTCGCCATCCTCTTCCACGCCCAGGTGCTTCCTCCGCCCGGGGCTGTTTCAACTTCAGAGCAAATACCTGGCCCCGCGCTTGGCCTGGCCGGCTCGCCCCCTCCCATCCCCCCCCCCACCCCCCCAAAACCTTCTTTCTCCTTATTCGGTTCGGGCGATTTATCGTGGGAGCCCTTAGCGCACCTGCCGCCTTTCCCGGGGCTTATTTGGCCGAGGTTGTCCGCTGCAGGGGCTGGGTGGTTTTCAGGACTACGCCGCCAGCAGAATGAGCCTTCTGGTGCTTTTTTTTTTAAAAAAAAATGGGGGTCTTGGCTGTGAAATCGGGGCCTCAAAGTAGTTGAAGGGACTCTCGGAGGAGAAGCCGCCGAAGCAGCCAGCGGATTGCCCAGCCACCGGGCGCTGGAGTAAGGCCTGCCTTTCGCCCCTCCTGTGAGGAACGGGGTTGTGTCAATGTGTGCTCCTTAGCTCCTGCCTTAGCTCCTAGTAAAATTTCGGGTGGCCTCGGCGATTGGAAGGGCTGTTGGCTGGACACCCCCTCTCGCAAGTGACCCGAAAGGGCTGCGGAGACCGAAGGGAAGGGAGAACTTTTTGCTACGCAGGCCGAGAAGCGTCTGAATGGTCCTTTTCGGAGACACCCCCCCAATTTCAAGCTCCATTTCAGTGGGATGTTTACCGCGGGGAGGTTTCGTTTACAAATGAGAAGCTGACGTGGGGAGCTCTTAATTTCTTCCCCAAAATGTTGCATGGATGGAGAATGGAAGAGGACGGACTAAAATACGCCCTTTGTGTGTGGAGTGCCACTTGAAAGGCAAGGAGGCACTGGAGGAGAATTATTACTACTAGTAGTACAACTAGTAATGGTAATAACTCTGTAGTAATAGTATTTATTACCTGCCCAACTATCGGATGAAGGAAAGGCGAGGAGGTACCAGAAGAGAATTATTACTAGTAGTAATGCTAGTATAGACATAATATAGCGAATAGTTATACTATAATAGCTAGATGCTATTATTACTAATTCTAGTAGTTGTAATTCTCTGCTGCTACTATTAGTATTTATTACCTGCCCAACTATCATACAATGTCATAGTATAAAATAACTAATAGTTATACTATTATAACTAGTATGCTGTTAATTACTAATGCTAGTAATAATTCTCTGCTACTACTACTACTAGTATTTATTAGCTGCCCAACTATCATATGAAAGGCAAGGAAGATAATTACTAGTAGTAGTAATGTTAAGTTGTCATAGTATAATATAACTAATAGTTATACTATTATAACTAGTATGCTATTAGTTATTACTAAAACTACTAGTATTTCTCAGCTGCTACTACTACTATTTATTAGCTGCCCAACTATCATACAAAAGAAAGGCAAGGAAGATAATTACTGGTAGTAGTAAAGTTAGTTGTCACAAAATAACTATTGTTATCATCATTATTATTAATAATAATTTTATTATTTAATTTATTTATATTGCCGCCTATTTGCCCATGGTGACTAGAGGCGGCGTATACAATGTAAAACCATATTTAAAACAAAAAACTAAAAATAAAATAATACTATGTACTATAATAGCCAGTATGCTATTAGTTATTACTGATGCTAGTAGTAATATTTCTCTACTACTACTACTAGTATTTATTAGCTGCCCAAGTTTAAGATGAAATAAAGGAACGAAGGCCCTTTTTGTGAGTCAAATTGTTGCTCGCGGTTGTTGTGCAAAGGCAAACGGCCGAAAGAGGGGCTACCCCACCATTTCCCAGCGCCAAAGGCCTCCTCCGTTTCTCTTCCGTTTCCCCTCTCAGAATTTTTTTTTGGGGGGGGGGTGCAGTAGAGGGTTGGCCGCAGCTGTAACTAAAAAAAACGGGCGGGTTTTTAGGCCGGCCTCCGGCTTCTTCTTCTCGTCCTCCACCCTCCGAGGCTGGGGTAGAGGGGCTGGAGAGAAGGCGGTGGCGGCGGCGGAGCCAGCCAGGCCTGCCCGCGCTCCTTCCAACGCAGGCCTCTTTCCACCTGCCCCGTCTTTCGGACACCGGCAAAGCGGGGGGGGGGGGATCCCACCGAATTCGCCTTCGCCCTCCGGCTGAGGCCCGAGAGTCGCCGCTCTTACGGCCTCCACCTCTTCCCTTTTCTCCCGCCGAAGACGCTTTCCCGGGAGTCAAAAGCTTCCTTACGAAGAGATAGATAGATAGATAGATAGATAGATAGATAGATAGATAGATAGATAGATAGATAGATGAAAGATAGATGATAGATAGATAGATGATAGATAGATAGATGATAGATAGATAGATGGATAGAT